GAGGGAGAGGGAGAGGGGATTGACATGTGAAGCAAGCTTGTTCCTAATTCGAACAAATAAAACAAATGGTATCATCTAAAAAAAGTTTGTGATGTGGTTTCTCTTAAAGTACTCTAAGGTATTATATTCACCCTTTCTTTCTGCAATTATGTGAGCTGGCACAGTGAGATGAACTGAGGTGAATAATGTAAGCTAATTCATAATAGGTACTTGAATTTATGCGCTATAATACCCAGAGGATTTGGAAGATACAGCTGAGAATAAAAGATAAGTCCAGCATGTTTGCTGGAAAAACTGACATCCCAGGGAAGAAGGAATGTGATGGTGCTAGAATTCATTATATTATTCAGACTGAGGAACCAAAAAATTATGAGTTGATATTATCCATTTTATATCTGCAAACTACAAGTGGACATAGGCAAGTAACACCACCTAATATGAAATGAGGTACAAGAGTGAAGTGCTTGCAAATATTACACAGTGTGCATTAAGTTCACTAAAATTATGTTTAATTTTTTGCTTGCCTTATAAATTTGACTTCTTTGTTCAGGTAAACCTTGAACTAATTTCCTTTTGTTAAATCAGGGTTAATACTGTACTTCAAGCTTATTAATTATAAGTCACAATCTATACTTACCAATCTGCCAGTTTCTTTCTTTGGCTTCATTATAAAACTGATGTAACACAAGGAAATCAATGACATCTGGCATGTCATGATACCTATATAGAAAATAAAGCACAGTAGCATCTAATACTGTAATGTAATAGTATTCATCACTTGCTCCATTTCCGAGGATAAACATTTGACATAGAGATTATTAAGTAAAATTTTGTAAACTCCATGGTCTTCAGAAATGGCTTTACTTAATATTAAGATATCAACAAAGGCTTTAAAATTTTTAAGTGAAGATCTTCATCAAAAATTTAAAAAACAGATCACCAGGTGTGGTGGCACACACCACTAACCTTGTCACTTGGGAAGCAGAGAGGCAGGTGGATCACTTTGAAAGCTAGCCAGGGCTACAAGGTGAGATCTGGCCTCCAAAATACAGATTTATTTTTTTCAATTCCCTTCAATTTTAAATTTAAATTCCACAAGTAGTCATTTACTTATTAGCCCTATTATTATTATCAAAACAATACCAACTAAGCATACTCTTAAACGTTGGTCTTTGATTCCTTGCAATTCTAAGGAAAGGATCGGCATTTTAGCATGTCCATTTTACATGATCAGACTAAGTACCTTGCTTTGATCAGGGATCAGTTCATCCATTCGTATCACACATTAGACAGAGCAAGAAACCAAAACCTACTCAAATCTTTGTAATAATAAACCACAGTATTTCCACTCCCATTGTTTTTGAGCTCTGAATTGAATATTAAATACATTAGTACCAATGGGCATTAAAATTCAAACAAACAAAAACAGAATCAGAAACAAGCTACTTACTTAATGGAAAAGGACTCTCCAGTCATTTTGCCTGAAATGGGGTCCAAAAATGCAAGTTTCAAGCAGCATAGTGTAGGTGGTCCAACCTCATATTTGATTCCTACAATCTTAACAAATTCTTGCTCCTATTCATGGAAAAACCAATACATTACTTTTCTGTAAATAACTACCTTTTATTAATACATTTCATTACTACCCAAATAACTTCAAAATTATCTGAATACTTAAGTGTTGTTTGGTGTCTAAAACAGCAGCAGTAGCAATGATGAACTTTACTTTTTTATTTAAAGATATTTTACTTCACTTTTCATTTTAATTATAATCTAATTACACCAGTTTCCCCCTTCTTCTTCCTCCCTCAGCCCCTCTCAAGTCCCTCCCACTCTAAATCTGCTGGCCTCTCTCTTTATTAATCATATATATATATATATATATATATATGATTGTATATACATATATACATATATGTATACTTGTATATACATATATACAAATACAACACTACAACTTGTTGCATCAAAAAAGTCATGTGAATAGTCATCAAATGATAGAAACTACATTAAATTGAAGGTAGTCATTTGAATCTTAATATTTCACAGTAAGGCGAGTGAAATGACAGCCTGACAACTTCAGTTCATCCCCAGAACCAACAGTGTGTGTGGAAAACAACTTTCAAAAGGTGTCCTTTACCTCCCACATGTGTACCATAGCAGATGAGTATCTGCACACACATGCACACACATATGGTAACCCATACAAATAATAACAAAAATGGGAGGTGGTAGCCCATGCCTTTGATCCCAGAACTCAGGAGGCAGAGGCAGGCAGATCTCTGTGAGTTCAAGGCCAGCCTGATCTACAGAGCGAGTTCCAGGACAGCCAGGGCTACACAGAGAAACCTTGTCTTGAAACAAAAACAAAAAGAATACTAAACAGACTGATGCTTAAGGCAGGGCTGTAAAGAAGGAAGCCTTCCAGAACTTATGAACTTAAGTAATGCCCTTAGTTCTATAGGTCATGGGTACATATCAGTCAAATATTCTTAAAAAGCAAACTTCTGACAGTTCTAGAAGATGTAATCTCACAATCTCCCTGTTCCTCTGGCTCTTAGAATCATTCTGACCCCTTATTTCTCAATGACTTGTGAGCCTTGGTACAAGAATTGTGTTGTAGATGGGTCAGTTGGGACGAGGTTCCTCAACTTGGCATTTTAGAAAACAACAGACATGTTAACATGGAAGGCAGAGAGCTTAATAGGTCTCTACCCTGGAAAAAGAATTACAGGCAAAGTGGGAGAAACAGTCTTCTTCAGGGATGAGCACACCAATTATGTGCACACAATATACCTCTAATTCCAAATGGTTAGCCCTGAAACATACACATGTAAGTAACATAGAAACAGAGCAGATTTTATTTACAAGTATATGTAAGTATACAAGTATACACACACACATACAGACACACACACATACACAGAGAGCAATTAAACAAAAAGGGGTCATGAATTTGAAAGAGAGTAAGGGGGTACATAGCAGGTTTGACAGGGAGAGAACAGGAAATGATATAATTATATTATAAACTCAAAAATAAGAAAAATTATTTAAAAAAGTCAAACTCCTCAGGGGACCATGATACTGTCTAGTTAAAAAAATCACTTACCCTATTAGCAAAATTAATAAGTAATCACACAGATTTATATGTACATGTGATTGAGATGACAGCTTTTTTAGACAGAGTATTGTGTCACAATCTTACGGTTTACTGATCACATTGAAGAAATTAAAAAAAAAAACTAATCTTCCTAGATACAGTAACTTGATTAAAGTTATACTCAGCATATAAAAAAGCCAGGGCTGAAATTCAGGTTTCACTCCAAAGCCCAACCTCTTATATTATATACACACTACCGCTGAATAATTTTCTAGAACCACAGAGCTGTGGTTAGAAGGAAGACATTATAAATGCTATCCACTTCCTCAGTCCTGGAAGAGTACTCAATTCTCATTGATTTTAAATAGATGAATAGGCAGTAAAGAAGATCAGATATTTGATAAGATATTTTAACACCTTGAAACAATGTTTTATCTGCAAACGTCTAAATATCTACTTGAATATCCAGATTTTTCTCTTTTATCTTCAAAATAAACAAACAGCAAGTCTTCAGTTTCCACACAAACTCATAGTAAATCTGCCCTTTATTTTTCTCTAAGTCAGGAGGAAAAAGAAACAAAACTCAAATAGAAATATATACTTAGGCCTGCCTATACATATGTTATGTATGAGAAAGAATAAATTTATATTAACTGACATAAAAGTCTTCAACAGAAATAGCAGTATCCATTTTACTTGATTTTATAAAGCAATGTGTGTATTACATCAAAAGAGATTCTCTCACAGAATACAAGTCTCTAAGCTTCTTTTCATTTATGATATTTAACCTATCTCAAAGCTACCAGAACCTTGAGAATGTCTGTAGGACACACAGTTTACTCGGGAATGTACACAACTGTTGATAGGGAAAATATTCAAACCAGAGAATGTCTACTTTTCTGTAGTTGAGGAATGGTAAAAACACAAGAACCTGAAGCTTACAGAAAAGCAGGGCCAATAAGATAACACATAGCTTAAAAATTGTTTAAAGATTTATTTTAGGTATATGACCACTTTGCTTGCAAGAATGTATGTGTACCATGTGTGCCTGGTGCCTGCAGAGGCAAGAAGAGAACATCAGATCTGATGATTATGAGCTGTCATGTAGGTGCTGGGAACTGAATCCAGGTCCTCAGCAAAAGCTCTTAATCACTGCACTGTCTCTCTGTTTCAGTTTGTTTAGTTTGATACTGAGTCTCACACTATAGCCTAGGTTGGTTTGGAATTCACTGTGTAGTATATGCTGGCTTCACTTCCCAGCAATCCTGCTTCAGCTTCCGAAGAACTAGGATTGTAGGTATGAATCACTATAACCTAGCATAATTTTAAGAAATATATATTATCCATTCTACAAAATATCATGCATCAATTAATTTTGGAAATACACTACCACCAAAATATCCATGAAACCTAGAAAAAAAGTTTAGGGCAACTGCATCACCAAAACTCTTTTGATTATACTCATGTCCATTGGGCAAACTCACCCTGAGATCCATTTTGTTCCATGGCTGTTTTTGTAAATTAACACTATATATTTTTGATTTCCTTACAGCTCTCACATAAGCTTCATGTCCTTGCCTAAAATAGATAAGCTGAAACAGAAAACAATGTTATACACTCATATTTATTTTAACCCTGCAGTTCCCAATCCATATTGCCTAAACACCTTCCTCCATTTACATAAAATAATTTCAGTTTTAAAACTCTTCTGATCAAATGATATTCATTCAGCACTCATGCCTACCTAACCTGTGCCAAGTTTCACATTGCATAAATAATATATGCAGTCTTTTGCTCCCAAGCAGCTGCAAAAGGCAACTGAAGAAAAGAGAGGTCTATGAAAGGGGAAAACGGCTTTCAAGGAGGGGGGAGGGGAGGGAAATGGAACACCTGTGACATTAAAGTGGAAGGGTACAAGGGGAGAACTGGGGCACGAAGATGTAGGTGATGAGAGTGAGGAAATTAACCATAACAAAGCATTAATGAAAGTGCCAGCAGGAAAACTATTACATTCAACAATAGCTTAAAATGTAGGTATTTAGAATGCTACTCATAAGCTTAAGCAATTCTTTGAAATGCAACCACTGTTGTGTACATCTATGGTGATTTTTTTTCCTTCAGTGTGAAACTACCTAGGAAAACAACTACAACCAGTATTGAAATGAAGTAATTTTTAAGACAAACTGAAAGTGTTCTGTTTCAAGAGTTCACGTCAGCATTAGCTGAGCACAGAAGAAAATGAATTCAAGTGTCTAGTAAGACACGCCAATTTCTTCAAAGATAATATTTACTATTATTTTCTACATTTCTTTTTTTCTTTTGTTTTTCGAGACAGAGTTTCTCTGTGTAGCTTTGGAGCCTATCCTGGCACTCGCTCTGGAGACCAGGCTGAACTCGAACTCACAGAGATCTGCCTGCCTCTGCCTCCTGAGGGCTGGGATTAAAGGCGTGCACACCAACGCCAGGCCTGTTTTCTGCATTTCTTGAGGGAAGTTTCTTTTCCTCAGTGGGTTCAGAGTGTTGACAGATATAAACAAATGGAATAAGGTAAATGAAATATCATATAAGGCAGTTTAAGCTACACAATGAATTATGAGCAAGATAACCCTCCTCCTTTACCTCAGGGAATTTAATTTCTCATTGTTAGCTGAGCCCTGTAGACCAGTTCTCATAAAAGCATGAGATGCTGAGGATTTTGAAAGTTCTGTACCAATATGCTGTGATTCTAACATCTGATTATAGGCAATTTTGGGCACCTTGCTTACCTTTCTAATTCTCTGTCACCTCATCTGTAAATAAGACATGCTGTGATATGACTCAAACACTGCATACCATATAGCATTGGCCAAACTGTAAAAACAGCTACTCTTTGTTTTTATGTAAGAGACTATGCTTCACACACAATACACTAATCATCATATACTACTATAATTTCAGCTTTAGAAATACATGTATTGAAGTTTATGGAAAAGACAAAAATGTATTTCCAAACCCCAAATGCTATCCAATGAGTGCATAAAGAAGGCTGTGGACTTAGCATTGTGATTAACTTAGGTACATTTCTGACATTACTATCTGAGAATAATGGAGCTCTAGGTCCCCTCTGGGCCCCCTGGTCTTCAATAAAATGTTCCTGAGTTTTCAGTCCTCCCTTCTCAAATGCAGGGGTTGGTTTTGCATGGAATAATGTAACTGAACACACACACACACACACACACACACACACACACACACACAGAGAGAGAGAGAGAGAGACAGACACAGACACAGACACACACACATACACAAATCTTTGGCCTTACTTGGAAAATACTATCTTTGTGGAAATAATCAACTTAAGAGTACTTGAACTCATAGCAGATGCATGCACGCCCTAAATGATTGCCCAGATAAGAAGGTAGCAAGTGGGAATGCAGAGAGACTTAGAGGGGAGATTGCCATATGAAGGTAGGAGAGAAATTGAAGTAATGTTGCTACATGTTGACAAACAGCAACAATTCTGAGAACCACCAAAAGCTGGGGAAAGTGGGGAAGGATTCGGCCTTAGGGATTTGGGAGAGAACATGGTTCTGCCAATGGCACATTGTACTGTTTTTACATTTCAAACTGGTTTGAGAGAATAAATTCCTATCATATAAAGCCAAAAAAATATATGACCAAACTCTTTCAATCAAAAACCTACATAGAGAGGCAGGCAGTGGCGGCCCAAGCCTTTAATTCCAGCACTCGGGAGGCAGAGGCAGATGGATCTCTGTGACTTCATGGTAGGCCTGGTCTACAGACAGAGAGCCAGTTCCAGGACAGCCAGGGTTAGACACAGAAACCCGGTCTCGAAAAAAAAAGAAACAAAAAGACAAAAAACAAAACAAAAAACCTACATAGAAAGTGAAAATATTTAAACATTAGTAAATAAAAACCATACCATTTAAAATCCAAACTAAGGACATTATATATTCATTTCAATATCCAATATTGACAAAAATATCTAAGAACAAGGCACTAGATGCTATCACAAGGTATTAAAATGTAATATTTTCCTTTAAGGGTTATATCTTTAAGAAGGAGCATTTTGGTTGGGAGTTGGTGGCACAGCCTTTAATCCCAGCACTTGGGAGACAGGCAGGAGGATCTCTGTGAGTTTGAAGCCAGCCTGGTCTACAGAGCGAGTTCCAGGACAGGTTCGAAAGAAACACAGTGAGACCGTGTCTCAAAAAAAGCCAAAAAAAAAGGAGCATTTTGAAGAGCAATCATTTATCAGTAGGGTTATTCTAAGCAAAATAACAAGGGCTTAATAGCTAGACAAGGCAGTAAGTAGTGCTGTAATTAAGAAACTGATTACACGAAGAGTACATTTGTGCCTTTATGAGCTCTTATAAAAAACATTCTCAAACTGCTATTCAACTCTTGGGTTCACTACAATACTTTCTCCATTCCCCCAAAGAATTGTCATAGGATAATACATAATCTTGAAGTCATGGTGTAATCAGTTTAATAAAATACAAGGAAAGTGATTCCATCAGGGCATGAACTGACAGAAGTGGTCATCAAGTGTAGAGAACAGTCTCATCAGACTTTAAAAGCATACAGAGGCTTATTTTGTTCTGTGAAGTCCTTTAAAATTAATCCAACTTCACCACAGACCTCCTAAGACTCAAAATACACATTAAGTATAATAAATTATGATTTTTAGATCTATCAATATTTTAAGGCTTTTTAATTTTTTATAATACAGCATTAATCATCAGAAGCTTATTAGCATAGTAATATAAAAAAGCACTAACTAAAAGTCCAACATATATCAAAAGGAAACATTTTAATCATCTCTAAACAAAATAAGCAAATGCTAGCTTATTCACAATGTTATCTGATAGATGTCTCTGCTACAAGATCTCTTTAAGAGAAAATTAGGCCAAATTTTTTATTTGGTCTTATTTGAAACCTATTTACTTGTCTTTCTCTGACTTTTTGTTTGTTTGTTTGTTTGGTTTTGGTTTTTCGAGGCAGGGTTTCTCTGTGTAGCTTTGGAGCCTATCCTAGCACTCACTCTGGAGACCAAGCTGGCGTCAAACTCACAGAGTTCTGCCTGCTTCTGCCTCCCGAGTGCTGGGATTAAAGGCGTGCGCCACCAACGCCTGGCTTTTTTCTGACTTTTATTGAAGTGACAATTTCACATTTCTACTATTAATTCAGAATTCAAAATGGTGCGCGGGGGTTGAGAGTGCCATACAATAATACAACTGCCCAGTATGTATCAATCCTGGTTTCAATCCCCAGCACACACACAAAAAGGCTCAAATACTTGGTCAGTCAATATATCAGATAAAACAGTCTAACTAGAGGAAAGATATTCCAAGGTAACCATAATGTCACTGAGATGCTGAAGTTTCTGAGTAATATTTTCTTAGATTTTTCTATGCCTAATTATATATGTGTATTTACATTTATTCGATCACAGATTCAGTAACTATCCTTTAGCACAGTGTCCAACTTTTTGACCTTGGAATGTAATATCATATACAAATGGGTTTAACCACACTCATAGGTATTCTGGGTTGGACATACCTCTTTTAGCATATTGTTATCAGGCTCAATTTCTTAAACAATATCAGTTCTTGAGTGAGGACTCAAAGTACCACTCACTTCTACAAAGTCACAATTAAAAGTCTATTGTTTTCATAACTTTAGAAGTCAATCATGAATAAATTTAAATTCCTGTTAACCTAGCATCTACTTTGTTGACTACATTATACCAGACCAGACCTATACAAGGGATGCAAAATTAATTATATTGAGTCACATTCTTCAAGAAATACTCAATTGAACAAAGCAACAAAGACAGTATATATTTAATCACAACAGAATTACAGTATGAATTTCCTGGAGCTGGCAAGATGGTTCAGTCATTAAAAGCAGTTGCTGTACAAGTTGTGTGACCTGAGTTTAATTCCTGGGATCCATGTAATAGGTAGAAAGAGAATTAATTCCACAGAGCTGTCCCCTGATCTCCATTTGTGCTCTGTAGCATACGTGTTCCCCTAAGTTATGCACATATACTCAAAACCACTATCAGATACGAAGATTGAATAATGTTAATTGTTCTCTTGTTTGTTTTGATTTTTAAAGACAGCATTTCCCTTTGTAACAGTCCTGACAATCCTGTTACTAGCTCTGTGGACCAAGGAGGCCTCAAAACTCAGAGATCCATCTATCTCTGCCTCCCTAGTACTGGGATTAAAGGCATGCACCATCACCGCCTGGCAATGTTAACTGTTTCATTCTTTTAAAAGGGAAAAATTTTGTTATTGTTGGTTTATTTTACTTTATGAGCCTGCATGAATGTCTGTTTACAATGTATATGCCTGGTGCCCACAAACTCCAGAAAAGGGCATTAGATCCTTTGGAATGGGAGTCACAGACTGCTACATGGGTGCTGGGAATTGAACGTAGGCCCTCTGGGAGAATAGTTAACTGCTGAGCCATCTCTCAGGCCCAGTAGTGTCCTTGAAGCAAAAGGGTTTTTATTGGGTACCTCATCTCCCATCTGTGGGACGAATGGAGAACGCCGTGGTATGGTATCCAAGATCCACTGCGGGGCAAACCATTCTTCATTGGGTTCGCCTGCCATAGAAACCAGTCCCCCTTTCTAAAACAAAACAAATCAAAAAACAATGACAGTATTTACAACAATAGCTCAAGTGCAAACTCATGAATAGTAGATTAAAAAAAGTAGGAAAATTATTTAAAATAGCAGGTTTAATGCACAGTAAAAATACATAATTTTAAGCACATACAATAGGAACTATATATTAATTTTATAGCAAAAAATCAAGTAGTTCATTTTTGGATTGTAGATAATAGCTTGATATTATATTACCATCTAAAAATAACATATTTTGTAATCTTCATGTATCTAGAAGACATCAATTCAAATAATAGTAATACAATAGTATCTATTAAGAAGGTAAGATGGACCAGATGCTGCAGGTCCATAATCCCTGATAGTCAGCAAGTTTGGACAGAAGAATTGCAAGTTCAAGGCCAACCTGGGCAATTTGAGATTCTGTCTGAAAATGCAAAAGTACACAAAAGAGCTGGTATACATAGCTCAGTGGTAATGTGTGAAGCCATAGGTACAACCCCTAGTATTTATATTTACCAATACTAATCGGGTTATTGTATTAGTGTATTAATATCTTTTAAATTTTGTATAGGAAGAATATGCAGAGCTCATTTGTTAATGGAATCCACCATTTTCCATTTAGATACATAGATTTTTTTTTTTTGGTGTTTTAGAGAACAGCAATCCTTTTAAAACTGAAAGTATAGAAACAGCATATTCTTGTCATAACATTAACATGTAAACTTAAACTATCAAATTAAAAAAAAAACTATGTAGATTAAATGTCCCCTAAGTTCAACTACAGTCATGGAAAGAAAGGATAATGGGATAAAATAAAATACAAATTCATCAAACTCTTCAATCCTATGATATAGACATGTGTATAGGACTACAAAATTCTAACTGGATAATGATGAGAATAATAATTGAATAATATAATGGCTTATTCTTATAGAACATTGCTACATTTTAACAAGTAATTGTCAATGTTCTAGCTTAATAACATATAATGGTGATATTTAACTGTTACCTTTGGTAACAAGAAATTAAAAATAATCCTTTGAAGTCAATTAAAATTTTATTGGTTTCTAAGACATTTAGAGCAAAAGCAAATGTCATTATTAAATATTCAAATATTAGTGGCAAAAAAGAAAAACAAGGCAAAAATGAACAATATATATGTTACAAACCTTCTTTCTAGTCTGTTTTGGTTTCTTCTGCCTATCTTCTAATGACTTCAAATTTTCATCTTCAGAGCTGCTGTATATTTTCTGTGTTGCCTGTCTAGTTTGTCTTTTAGGAGGCTGCAAATTTATCCCAGCATCTGCTGTCCAATCAGAATAATCGCTTGATGAATCACTGTAAATAAACCAAAATTATAATGGAAAAGTGATCATTTTGTTATCAAAGAGCATTTAAATGACAAGGACTGAAGCAGAAGAAAAATAATACAGATTTTTGATCTCTATTTGATTTTAACAAAATGCTTCTTGAATAAAAATACTTAATTTACCATAACAGGAATCAAAATCCGTGTTGGAAACACAAAACTGCCTAAAAATAAACATAAATCTTATGCCTGAATTGATGAAAGAGATATAGTTTTAAAACTGAAATAAAAGATAAAAGCTGGGAATGGTAGTGCATGCCTTTAATCCCAGAGGCAGTCAGGATCTCTGTGAGTTTGAGGCCACCTTGGTCTACATAGTGAGTTCTAGCACAGCCAGAGTTACATAATAATACTCTGTTTCAAAAGACCAAAACTTGAAATAATCATATAAAATTGCAAAGAAGTACAATCATAAATTTAAAAAGAAGCTTACTTTACAGATAAAGGAAACAAAAACCTCCAGTTATATCCACAGAATGTACTGGGAGTCATGAGGAAATAAATTGTACATAGGCTTCTAACTCAGAACTTTTTCTATTACATGATAATATTTTATCTAGTTTTATCAAACTCCTACAAAATCATAATTTCATGTTAAATGTTGAATAAATTTGGGTCAATTAAAACTACCTGGAAGAACTTTCACTTTGCCACTCAATAACAGGGTCTTCTACAGAAGCATCACTTGTGCCAACAGTTTCATCTTCCTATAGAAAAGAGACAAAAATTCAGATATATGTTAAGTATTAGCTAGTGTAATATAGAAAAAAACATCTGATTTATTACTTTATGACTTCATCAAACATTCCAGTTAAAACGTACATAATCACTTTTTC